ATTGCCCTGGCCGCCATGTGAGAATACTGCGGGATGGGGGAAGAGCCGTGGGAGAGGCAGGGAGAGCAGCCAAGATGCTATCATGCCAACCGAGGGAGAGATGACAGCTGCAGTAGAAACGGCAAGAAATAGCTGAATTCTGAATAAAATTCGAGAGCAAGCAGGATTTGCTCACAGACTGGATCTTAAGAAAAAGAGAGGAATCAAGAACAACTTCACAGCTTTTGGCCTGAGCAACCCAGAGAATGAGGCCATCATTAGCTGAGAAGGCAGAAGGTGAGGATACAAGGAGAACAATAGCCCAATTCTAGACATGCTGAGTTTGACATGTTTATTAAATATGCAAGCTGAGCTGCTCAGGAGGCCTTGCGATATATAGGTCTCCAGTTCTGGAGAGAGGTCTAGTCTGGAGAAGTTAAGTCGGGAGTCGTTAGTATGGTTTTAAAACCTTGTGACTAGATGAAAGTACCAAGAGAGTGAATGTTGATTAAAAAAAAATAGGGAAAATTAGATCAAATAGATTATTCCGTGCTATTTAAAAGCTCTCTTTTCACAATATAATATAAAATGGCTATATAAATATACATAAGATTTATCGATCTTCATGGAAAAAAACATCAAAAGTCTGAACTTGGGCAGTGCCTATGGCTCAGTGAGTAGGGCGCCGGCCCCATATACTGAGGGTGGAGGGTTCGAACCCGGCCCTGGCCAAACTGCAACAACAACAACAAAATAGCCAGGCATTGTGGCAGGCACCTGTAGTCCCAGCTACTCAGGAGGCTGAGGCAAGACAATCCCCTAAGCCCAGGATTTGGAGGTTGCTGTGAGCTGTGATGTCACAGCGCTCTACTGAGAGTGATAAAGTGAGACTCTGTTTCTAAAAAAAAAAAAAAGTGTGAACCTCACTGCTTCACAGGCCTAGATGAGGTGCTTTTTGGTCATCAACCCTATTTTCTATGCTTTGAGGAAAAATCTCCACAAACCCATCCAAACAGTTTGACACACTTTTCTTATGAATAACCTAATTTTCCAATATAAAATCCATAGAGGGCATAGTTAGAGACAGCACTAGGGAAGGTGAACATATCAACTGAATTTTCAGCATAGAATTTCTTCCAATTTCTTCCAACTGTATAAATAAGA